CATGTGATCGAGCCACGAGAGCCAATGGGCGCGGATGCGCCGAACTTTGACTTAGCGCGCGAAATATGATTTCCCGCAGGCTCCAGCTCTATTTTAAACTAAAATATGGGCCGTATTTGCATCGCGGGGTTAAATTCGGGTTAAACTGCTTAACCGTCAGAGCGCTTTAAAACGCTCGACTTTGAATAAACTTTCGACTGAAAATTGGCCCCAAAGGGAATTTGGACCCAGTGTTTTTTGAGGAGTTTGCGCCGGGGGGGGGGGGGATTCCGGGTGTATGCCAAAAATTTCAGAAGAAAGGGTCAACATTTAAATGTTTGGGGAAGCAAATCTATTCAGCACTTATTGTGGCGCGTAACACATAATATAAGTAAGTCCAGGATAAAAAGTTCATGTTATTTGAATTTTTACAGGGTCAAAATGAAGATTTTAAGATGCTTTCTGATCCTGTTTCGACACGAATTTAATCCGACATGAAACGAAACCCTTAAGGGCGCTTTTGCATTAAATAAAAAATTAAATGAATTAAAAGTAACAAAAACAGAAACGAAATAAAAGGAGGAAAGAAAGGCATGAAAGAAGTAAAATTAAATTTCCCAAAACTTGGTTAAAAGCATAGACGATATTTATTTTGATTGACTGGAAATTCAAACCTTTTAAAAAAGCATTGAAATTTTTAAAGTTTCAGACTTATCGAGTTTGAGCTATTTAGAGAAGACTAAACTGAGGAAAAATGGTTGTTTTATCAAATTTTTGCGGTACATTCATGCATTCATGCTAGAGATTTGAAAACAAGTTACGGAAAGGAACATGCGGGAGTTTTTCATCATACTTAATAGCAACATTATTGCGATAATTTTTGCGCCTTGCAATTAGCAGATTGGCAACAGGTGACACAACCAATAATCGGAATATATTGCTACATCATAGCAACAATATAGCAATAATTTCCGCGCCTTCAAATGAGGGAGTAGGCAATACGCATGGCAAATATATATGTAATATAGCAACATTCCTACGATTTTATGTCCATCTATAGGTATCCTTGCTACTTGGGTCTTGAGTAGTTTTGATAAGATTGCTAATGTTGTTTCGATGGATAAGGATTAAAGCTCTATGACTTAATAGACTTTTGACCATTGACTTTATAAGCATTAATCAATGCGATGCTTCGCTCACTGAATCTTTTCCATAACTTTGATAATTGTTGGTGATTTTTTGTTTGATGTATTCAAATTTATCAGTAGTGGTAGAATCAATTATATCATTTAAATGAGCATAGCTAAGAGGCAGGGCAGCTAATTTTGACAACTTTTCTGTTTCATTTACTTTTACTCCTCAATTGGACAGATCGTTGATACATTTCTCAAAATCTAGAAAAAAGATTGCTGGGTTTTGATTTTCACTCAATTTAAGCTCTAACAGTTACTGAAGTTTTTTAACTTGAACAGCCGTAGACTTGGGTTGGTATGTAGTTCCTAATTTCTCCAACATGCGCTTTGCGGTTTCTTCAGCACAAATTAAGTCAAATATACTGTTTGACACAGTATTGACGATGTAATGCGTGGCTTTGGCCTCTTGTTTTGCCCAGCTTACATCCTACATACCCTGGGGCTTCTCGTCCTGGTCAACCACTTGGTCGCAAGATTTCCAGTATCTCCAAGTCCACACACGAATTGGTCGTGGACGTTGTCTTGAAGTCCATCAAATGCGTAATCCATGGATGAACTCTTTTACAGCTGCAGCAACAGCAAATTCACCAACCGATTCATCCCAATTTAGTTTTATATCCTGGAGCTGACATCGTAGAATCATTAGCGATGGCATGGGTTTTAAATATTTGACAGCATCTTAAGAGCTGCATCCTCTAGGTTTAGTTGGCACTGAAAAGTTTTAAGCAAATTATATGTATCGTTGCCTTAGAGAGTTAAGAGGATACCCATTTTCTTTTCATCTATAATATCATTCACCTCAAACCATTGTTCTAATCATCCACTCCAATCTCCCAATTTTTTTTTTTTTCTTTTGAGAGAGGTGAAAGGTGGATACGGTTTGATGCCAACCATTTTTGCATTCGCATGTATTTGTGCACAATATACGTGTGTCACTTTCGTCGTCCGATTTATTAGAGTTCACCAAGTTTAGGCTTACAGGGCTGGAACTCGTTGCGCGCTTTGTTGTCCGTCTGCTTTCACGATTTTTCTTGATTTTTCCTGATCACCATTGTTGTGTAGGGTACTCGGGAGAGCAAAAGAACTAAGTGGCGGAATAATGAGAGCGTTATTCGGAAAGAGGGCACTCATAAAATTGATAGGCTACACGTAAATTCACATAGCATTATATTCGGACTGTCACTCAGGACGTGTCCTTTTGTGTGGCGCGAGCACCACCGGCGTATTTGGTCAGTTGCGCTGGTCACAGAATCGTGTTTTGGTGCTTGATTTTTATAGATTAGGTAGCTAAAAAGTTTGAGATCTATTCAAAAAGTAACCTCTACGTTCAGTATTCTCAGAGATATTGCGCTTTGAAAAATTCCGTTCATGACTTCATTCGTCGCAGTAGTGATACCCTTGGTTTCTTCTACCTTGCCTTCATCCAAGTTTCTCACGTTGAGTAACCAGTGCAAATGTGTGTCTCTCTGACGGATGAAACCGAGGGTGTCACTACTGCAGTGGATGACGTCATAAACCGAATTTTTCAAAGCGCGATATCTCGGTATTCTCGGTTAATAATAAACGTAGAAAGTTGCGATTTCGGATAGATCGTATTATTTTCAGCGAATCCACAAGAATCAAGCATCAAAACCCGATTCCGTAAGCAACGTAACTCACTCATTGCAGAGTTGCCACATACTGGGTGTCTCAAAAGAAACGAGCTACCTTGAATATCTTTGGAAGGAATTCGAATATCTAAAAACGCTGAAACATGTGTTCAAAATTTTCGAGGGGGACATGTTTTCCGCACATTCGCATTTTTTAGCTCCCTTTGGGGGCCCCATGGGGAGTCCCCAGGTCCCTCTCCTGTATCTCGAATATTTCAAACGGTAACCCCCCTTTGTGTTACATAATTTTAAAGGTAATAAAAAAGAAAATTTTTCGCGCAAACCTTAAGTCGCCATCTATCACCGTTTCAAAATGGCGGCGGGTCGAAGTTTAAAGTGGCGGAAAATGGATATTTCGACTAATTATACACAGATTTGGATGAAACTAAGTATTAGGGAGGTTTTTGGGGCTGCCATCACCTACAGCGAATTTACAAACGTATCTAATATGACTGCCTCAAAATGGCAGGAAATCGGTGTTTCAGCTGATTATGAACGGATTTCGATGAAAGTAGGTTTTGGGGGTTTTTTGGGTAGAGGAAAACGAATCTGCCACCGCGAATTCTCAAACCCATCCAAAATAATTACCTAAAATGGCGGGAAAAGGGCATTTTTAAAATTGTGCGAAACAGTTTAAAAATGAATATCTCATCTGCAGAGTTCTTATCTTTATCTTACTTTTTCCAATCGAAAATACCGGATTCGGAAGTCAACGAACTCACCGCAGTTTTTTCTTTTCTTGTTTTCTTCACGGCATACCTAGTTTTCTTTATTTTTATTTTTACTTTTTGGAGGAGGGAGGCAAGCAATTCATCCAAAAGCCATATCCTTACTAAATGCATTGGTTTACTTCTGGTGAAGTGTTAAATCAACTTAATATCCGGGACACCCACAGGATCACCTCCGCAGGTGAGATATTTATTTTTAAACTGCTACGCACAATTTTCAAAATGCCCGCTTCCCGCCATTTTAAGTAATGATTTTGGACGGGTTTGAGAATTGGCAGTAGGTAATGCTGGCAGATTCGTTTTCCTCCACCCGGAAAAACCCCCGAAACCTAGTTTCATCAAAATCCGTTTTTATCAGCCGAAACAACGATTTCCCGCCATTTTGAGGCAATCATTCTAGATACGTTTGTGAACTTGCGGTGGGTAATGGTAGATTCGTTTCTCTCGATCCAAAAAACCCCCGATTATTCAATGTGTGCATGATCAGTCGAAATATCTATTTCCACCTTTTAAACTTTGACCCACCGCCATTTTGAAACAGTGATAGATAGCGACTAGAGGTTAACGCGAAAAATTTTCTTTTTTATTACCTTTCAAATGATGTATCATGAAGTGAGGTTATCATTTGAAATATTCGAGATACAGGGGTGGGACCTGAGGACTCCCAATGGGTCCCTCCCGGGGAGCTAAAAAATTCGAATATGCGGAAAAGATGTCCCCCTCGAAAATTTTGAACACATGTTTCGGCGTTTTTCGATATTCGAATTTCTTCCAAAGATACTCAAGGGGGCTCGTTTCTTTTGAGACACCCTGTATATCTTTCAGGATTAACATGCATATCACAAATTTGTTACTGACCTTTGATGAGTGTGATTTAAGACCAAAAAATTGAGTCAGAAAAAAAGGGGGGCATGTTTCTGCGGTAAAATTTTATCCTCTTTTTTCTGTTTTTTCTGGTTTTTTTTTTCATCTTTTATAATTCTCGTAGGACAAAGCGTTGAGGAGACATTTGCAAAACCCTATCCATAGATTTTCTCAATTTTGGAAAAGTCAGGATAGCCGTCCTGAGTACCAAACAATTTTGCTGAAAGTGAAATGGTTAGTTTCAGACGTGTTCAGCTCCTAGGTAGGAATTGTAAATAAAATTGGTTAAATGCGAGGGACAGAACATGGCCTGAAAATATGTTCTGTGGTGATTATTAAGTATCCTTCACTGAAAGTTTTTACTTTTTTAGATACTTATATTGGATTGATGCGTAGAAGAGAGTCTGCCACCTGCAAAAATGAATATTTACCCGTTTCTTCATTCTAAGGAGTATACATATTTAGACCCAGCTCATTACCCAATCGCTAGGTGAATATTTCTTGAATATGTCGTCAACATCGTTACTGTTTTCTATCTCTTTGTAAATTAATATTTTGAGAATTTTTGTTTATGAATCATTTCACAGGAGACATTGCCCTCACTAGTATAGTGAAATTGTTGATAATCGATGAAGTACATCTTCTACATGGAGATCGTGGTCCTGTGGTTGAAGCTTTGGTTGCACGAACTTTACGACAGGTATTTTTCCAGTTTATTTTTTTATGTTACAGAAAGAAACTTAGATGTAAAGTGTATATGTAAACACTGTTGCTACATTAATACGCAGGGTGTCTCGAAAGTCTGTAGTTTGGTGGTACAACACGAAGGCCGAGTTTTCTTCAAAACCTATTCTTTGTTGCATCTGAATTCCACGAGTTATTTTCCAATTATTCTAGCCGCACAAATACACACATACACGTGAACCCTCGCACACATTCAGTTTCGATCATCAGCAGAACCACAGAAAATCTAAATCAGAGAATTATTAAGAATAATCCAATATAAGATTCCCAGGTTCAGGGTTTTGAGGGTTCTTTAAGTTCATTAAATGCCATAAATGGCTTTGTTCGATTCTTATTTGTTTGCTCCTCGGTGGCTTCAATGGTCCTGCCATTTCTTGCCGATATAGAGGAGGCTGATCAAGATTCCGGAACTAATCTCCCACAGACTTTCTCCCCCACCCCCACCCCCCCATTGGTATAATTCACCTAAACCTTTTCACCCACAACTCTAAACTCGCAGCATTTGGACTCCTCTGCACGTTTACATACATGACTTTTCGCAAAAAGGGAGTTTTCGTACATGTATACGTTCTTGTATATGTATACATATTACACTATCTGTGGAAATCGTAGTTAAAATGCACTGCTGTATTAGAAGGAATAGATGATACCATTTAAGTGAGATTTTATAATTTTCAGGGATATTTTTATTTCTTTATGTAATAAAAGTTTACGTTATATGGTAAAATCTGACTTGGATTTGGGCAGAATAAGTACGTTCTCCTCCAGAAGAACATATGTGAAGCTTCTGTTTCTTACAAAAAAGACAATGGAAATTGTGGCAAGGAAGAAAGACAAGGGATGTTGAAATTTTTGAAAGCATGTGGATTTTGAATGTCTCTTAAAGCCATGTACCTAAATGTAATATCAGTTTCAATCACATTTATTTGGTGAAATTTTCATCACTTTTTTAAAAGTTGAATTTATGGAAACTTTTGTAGGAAGTATGAAAGATGTAGGTCGAAAGTATTGTAAGTGAATATCCGTGGATTAAAAAGTCCTGGGTAAAAACGTGAATAGTCTCTCAGGCGAATAAACTGTGGAAGAGTAGTCCTGGCACTCTCAGGAAGCTGTTGAACCCATCAGAGTCTGATAGATGTATTTGAAATGTGCTACTTTCAGTTTTACTAACATGACTGAGGGTCATCAGAATCATTCTCCTCTTCAGCTAGCTGCTGTACTACTTTGTATGAATGCCATTTGTTGCCATCCTTGGTATCAGGGACTTTAGTCTACAGAGGCAAAATTTTCAATAGGTTTTGTTGAATTGCATTGAAAAATCAGATTTAAGATTTTGATGGAAAATTGTTTAATATATCAATGAATAAGTTGTAAGTGTATTAAGTCATTCATTTGCGACAAAGAGACAAGAAGTTGGCTTTTATATCCATAATTTAGGACCGTAAATGTAACAGAATAGAATTTTAAGTTTCCCATGGAACAATGGTTTTTACAAAACGTTTTCTGCAAACCTCTAACTGCCATCATTCCTATTAGGTTTTACATTCAGCGTTTGTGTCATTAAACGTGTGTAGAACACTCCTTTGCTCTGTCACACTAAATCAATTTTGTGCAAAATCAAATATGGATTGATTAGGGCCCTTTGCCCCATGGACGGGCATGCTTATTGCCTATGTAGCATCTAATTTTCTCATTGTAAATTTTGCACCTTAATTGAATCGGCTCGTGCGGAAACCGCTATTGTCCATTTTTTTCAATTTTGAGTTTTTTGGGTCAAAATACTCTCGGAAGTCAGACACACTCATTAATGTAGTGAAAATGTTTGTTCCTTAGGTTTGAAGCCCTTTTCAGGGGGGGCCGTGGTCCGAATCATGCGAAAACCGCTAATGTCCATCTTTTGTTGTATGCCTCATTATACTGTACAACAAACCAAAATAAAAAAATGTTTCCTGGACAACATTAGGTGATCTTTATGCATTTTAAGGCGCTGAATCCGAGTTTTCCGAGCCTTAAATTGTGTATTGTAAAAGCTTTGCCGGATCAAAGTGTATTCAAAATAATTGTATAAATGTCTCCGATATGTAATACATCGATTCCTTTGTATTTTGATCCGTTGAATTCAAATATGATCTCAGATTCTTCCGATCACCCATCATTTTTTCGGGAAAGTCGCTTTTCCTAAGAAAACGCTCTTTTCAGATATTTTTGCGATGCTTTTTCTGTTCTAAAGAGTTTCAGAAATTTTTCGAGATCCTCTTTAGGTCTCTCTTGCTGTACTAAGAGGCACTGAACTCGAATTTGACCTTCACTCATCTTTGACAACCCCCCCCCCCCGTTTTCTAGAAAGTCTGATTTTTCCGGGCCAAAAGCTGTTCCGGACTGTTCCCACTTCCAGAGAAATTCAAACCATTTTCTGCATGTGTGATACATCGATTCTCATGTAATTTGAACTGAAAAACCCGAATATGACCTTAGAAATTCGTTATAACCCACCGGAGAATTTCTGAAACTCCTTAGATCAGAAAAATCATTGCAATAGTATCTGAAAAGAGCGTTTTCTGAGGAAAAGCGACTTTTCCGGTAAAATGATGGGTGATCCGAAAAATCTGAGATCATATTTGAATTCCATGGATCAAAATACAAAGGAATCGATGTATTCAATATTGGAGACATTTACACAATTAATTTTGAAGACATTTCGATCCGGCAAAGCTTTTACGATACACAATTTTAGGCTCGGAAAACTCGGCTTTACTGGAATCTGAAGTGTGATAGAGAGAAACCAAGGTCATATTCGGATTTAGCAGCTCAAAATACATGAGTAACATACTACCACGGGTCCAGGAAAATTTATAAAAAGAAATTGCGTGCACGACAAATATACGTCGGATTTGCTCGTTATACCGGGAAAAAGTCGCTTTCCCGGAAAACTGAGAGGTGAACGGGAAAAATTAAGGTCATCTTGGGAATCATCAGTTAAAAAGACATCGGCATAATTGAATCTCGTAGATACGAAAAAGAGCCTCGCCAAGTTTAGCCCCCTTTTTGGATACCCGAGTTGGTCAGTGGGACAAGGCTCAAATGAAAGCTTATGGTAAAGCATACTTCCAGGCAAAGTTTCAACTTGAAGTGACACCTAGTTTATGCTGTACAGCGTTGCCAATTTTTCATTTTTATGTGCTAAAATCAAGGAATTCTGGACTATTAGTCCAGTGCATTCTAATGAAACGGACTAGTGCATCGGTCTACAAGCTGAATACTACCCTGAGATCGTATAGAAACGCAATTTAAGGCCATCGTGAACTTTTCGAAGCAGTGTTGCTAGTTTTTTTATTTATTTTCTTAACGTAGAATGAGGGTTTTCCGAGATTTTCGGCTGAAAACGCTCCTTCATGGGCCAAAACTTTGACAAGTATGGGCTAAAAGCATTACCACACGATAGCAAATGATCGCTACTCATGGAAAAAATCGAATTCCTAAAGCAATGTTGCCAAGTTAATTTTAATTTCTTACAAAAGTATTTCAAGTGAAAGCTCGGTAAACGTAATTTTCCAGGCACTTCTCCTATTCTGATGGCTAAATACCACCATGGCATAGTACATGATTACTGTTCAAGGCGAAAATGGAATTTTCAGACCAACGTTGCCAAATTAGGAACATTTATTTTACGGAATTCGCTAATTTGAAACCCGTTAATTCGAAAATCTCGTTAATTCGAAGGCGAAGTCAATCCTCGTGAGAAATCCCTTTATTTCGAAAAAAATCAATGTATTTGTCTCCCCTCGCTAATTCGAATTTTTGAGCAGTTAAGCGGCTCGGCAAACTGCTCTATAATTCGGTGGAGCCGGACCGAAACGCTCTGTAATTCGAAATCTGTCGCGGTGGTGTTGTTTTGATCTAAGTAAAAGCTTGCCCGGCATGGGAGATTAGACTAACGAATGACTATGTTGACATCTCTGAAGATGAGCTGATTATCCAGTATGTATTGCATTGTGTGCCAGTGAAAGTGGGTGCTTTTCACCATGGGCAAATATGGCAAGCTAAATTTTGAACAATTTCTCATATGTAATAAAAACCCTACTCTGGCGAGAGGTGGGTCCCTGTTCTCACCCTTAAAAACCCGTACATACATATTTTTATTTTCTCATCGTCCCATAATTTTGAATTATAGAGAGTTTTGGGCCCATTACTTCGAATTACAGAGCTGTCTTGAAAACCCCGTTAATTCGAATTTTCCTTGTTGCTGCTCTCTATAATTCGAAATTTTGATAGTTCGAAAACCCGTTAATACGAAAAAAACGCTCGGTCCCTTGAGTTTCGAATTAGCAAGCGGCCTCTGTATTTGAGTATTTGGCGCGAAAAGTGTACTTTTAGGTGCTGTCACCATACGGTGTAGGCAAAATATTACTGCACAATAATGTAGAATTGGTTTCTAAAGAAGAAGACGAATTTTAAAGCCAATGTTACCACTTCATGGCATTTGTACGATAAAATGAAGATATTTTTCAGCTCCATTTATGAAAAACAAAACGTTATTCCAGTGGTTTTCTCTATCATTTGAGGCAAGAGAGCCTCACGCCATTGCATTTAGTTGTCGTTCATACCAAAAATTGAATTTGCCTAAACTCGTCAAAATTGTAGCCCATGAAGATACATTTTCCGCCAGAAATCTCAAAAATACCCTCACTCTTTGTTAAAAAATTAATTAAAAAACTGGCAACGATGCTTCGAAAAAATCACAATGGCCTTTAATTGCGTTTCTGTACGATCTCAGGGTAGTATTTAGCCTGCCGACCGATGAACAAGTCTGTTTAACTATGATGCACTGCGCTAATAGTCCAGAATTCCTTGATTTTAGCACATAAAACTGAAAAATCGGTAACGCTGTAGAGCCTAAACGAGGTGTCACTTCAAGTTGAAACTTTTCCTGGAAATTTACCTTACCATAAGCTTTCA